GGGGCTTGTGATGACTTCTAGGGACTTGTGATGGACTTGTAGGGACTTGTGATGAACTTACAGGGACTTGTGACGGACTTACAGGGACTTGTGATGACTTATAGGGACTTTTGATGGACTTACAGGGACTTGTGATGGACTTATAGGGACTTGTGATGACTTATAGGGACTTGTGATGGACTTGTGATGAACTTACAGGGACTTGTGACGGACTTACAGGGACTTGTGATGACTTATAGGGACTTGTGATGGGCTTACGGGGACTTGTGATGGGCTTACAGGGACTTGTGATGGGCTTACAGGGACTTGTGATGGACTTGAATACAACAGTGGTTGTAACACATAGTAATATGCATAAAAACAAATTGAGCTAAACATCCACACACAGCATGTTTCCTGTCACGTTGAATCTGAATCGGCAGCACAGTGTTTCAAGTGCCCTGCATTGTGACTGAAAGGGGAGTTTGGAACCTTACAGCTCAGCTGTAGTCTTTACCTCCATGGCCCCTAAAATGTTCCCATGAACAATTCAATTTAAAGTGCCCTTGACCCATAGGTAGCTTTACCTAGTCTTGTGTGGCTATGAGACTGTTTTTGTACACTTGGGTCTGTTTCCTGGCAAAAGTCATTCAGGGTGTCATTAGTTACAGACACGCAATATCCTGCATTTCATAATGAGACCGTGGAAGCATTCTAATGTAAAAAACATTGCCAGGTCCATTTTCATGTGCAGACATGATGCTCTCATTTACACACGTTATTCCAGTGATTTATCTTTGCAACTTGGATGTAATGGAACTGAACATGACTTGCTGGTGAGCCGCTCTGACCAGCAATATTCAATCAAAGGTCCCCATCATAATGACACAAGGTCACAGTGATGCCAGTAGATAGTTTAAGCCAATTTGTGTTCTCCATCACTTGACAATGAAGTCACCATCCAAAGATGTCCAATGTTAAACAAATGACACCAAGCTGCTAATGAACAAAGAGCAAACAGTTTAAGCAAACGTCACTCTCTGTCCGTCAAATGAACTATGAAATACAAACAATGAAAAACAAATTCCAAGAACTTNTACGGGGACGTGTGATACGCTTACAGGGACTTGTGATGGACTTATAAGGACTTGTGATGGACTTATAGGGACTTGTGATTGACATGTAGGGACTTGTGATGAACTTACAGGGACTTGTGATGGGCTTACTGGGACTTATGATGGATTTATAGGGACTTGTGATGGGCTTACAGGGACTTGTGATGGACTTATAGGGACTTGTGATGACTTATAGGGACTTGTGATGGACTTGTAGGGACTTGTGATGAACTTACAGGGACTTGTGACGGACTTACAGGGACTTGTGATGACTTATAGGAACTTGTGATGGACTTACAGGGACTTGTGATGGGCTTACAGGGACTTGTGATGGACTTACAGGGACTTGTGATGGGCTTACGGGGACTTGTGATGGGCTTACAGGGACTTGTGATGGGCTTACAGGGACTTGTGATGGACTTGAATACAACAGTGGTTGTAACACATTGTAATATGCATAAAAACAAATTGAGCTAAACATCCACACACAGCATGTTTCCTGTCACGTTGAATCTGAATCGGCAGCACAGTGTTTCAAGTGCCCTGCATTGTGACTGAAAGGGGAAATTTGGAACCGTACAGCTCAGCTGTAGTCTTTACCTCCATGGCCCCTAAAATGTTCCCATGAACAATTCAATTTAAAGTGCCCTTGACCAATGGGTAGCTTTACCTGTCTTCAAAGACTACAGTTGCAGATGTGGCTATGAGACTGTTTTTGTACACTTGGGTCTGTTTCCTGGCAAAAGTCATTCAGGGTGTCATTAGTTACAGACACGCAATATCCTGCATTTCATAATGAGACCGTGGAAGCATTCTAATGTAAAAAACATTGCCAGGTCCATTTTCATGTGCAGACATGATGCTCTCATTTACACACATGTTACTCCAGTGATTTATCTTTGCAACTTGGATGTAATGGAACTGAACATGACTTGCTGGTGAGCTGCTCTGACCAGCGATATTCAATCAAAGGTCCCCATCATAATGACACAAGGTCACAGTGATGCCAGTAGATAGTTTAAGCCAATTTGTGTTCTCCATCACTTGACAATGAAGTCACCATCCAAAGATGTCCAATGTTAAACAAATGACACCAAGCCGCTAATGAACAAAGAGCAAACAGTTTAAGCAAACGTCACTCTCTGTCCGTCAAATGAACTATAAAATACAAACAATGAAAAACAAATTCCAAGAACCTNAGCTTTGAATGACACCACTAACTTTGAAAACTTGAAAGTGCATGATTTGTTGCTTTCTTTTGAGTTCTTTCTCAAAACAAAATTGAAAGGATGTGTCAACATAATCTCTTTACCCCAGTATTTCAAACAAGCAACCAGCCTGAAATCCGTTTGCCTTTGAGAGTGGTGACAATCCCCCGAGCTTTTTTTGTCTAATCACTGACATCAGCCAACGATGGCCTTCGGTGTCAATGGGTATAGCAATCAGGTGGGGAACAGTACACACAGTCGTCCATACGGGACCACCAAAGGAAAGGCGGCCAAATCCCTCTTAATTTCTCAGCAGAAGTCGTTGATATGGGGCGGCTGCTTGTGTTGATCGATTGTGTTACCAGCGCCAGAACCCTGACCCAATTTTTGGACTTGATGATGAGCTAGCCTTTCATAAATAACTGGATTTTTTCCAAGGCTAACTAATTCATGCAGAGAATCGAGACCTCACAATTCACCGTAAAGGTAATGATCATTATGGATCAGGTTTAGGGATAATATCCATTTAACCTTGCTCAGCAAATTGTCTGCTATATGCATTGGCTCCCTTCTGCAAGTTGCAACCTGCAGAAAACACACAATGTATATAGCATATCCACCAGTAAGTCATGACAGGGCAGAGGATTTTACACCCAGTTCACAGAGATTTACTTTTTCTTAAACAAGAACCTCAGAAACAACTGCAACAACTGAAATTTCACAGACTCAAAAGAAAAGACTAACATTTTATCTGTTGTGTATTTTGTTGCTAAGTATGCAGCACACACTAGCAGTAACACCCATGTTGGTGTTACCTTGTGTAGTTAAGAAAACTCGATGAAAACACTCATTTTCCTTGAAATACAAACACTTATTTTGAGTATTTTTTTACAGTTTCCTTGACAGCTTGTTCTCAGTTTGCTACAGGTAACCCTAACCCCCCCCCTACCTCTAAACCTCATTTCCAGAAAGGGGTTGACCTTGTGTGGACGTGGCTAAGTCCACACAAGATTCACTTAACCTGCATTATGCGGACCTCTTTTGTTCACGGGTCCACACTCCATGTAGTTATGAAAGGTCTGTAAACTAATAATCTCTGCTTGTTCACCTAATATGTTGCCAAGAAGATATATGGATAAGCATTTCCAATATGACTTTATCAACCCCCAAACCCAAGCTGAGTCTCTGCTGTAACACTCAGTATTGCATGGACAAGTGGCAGATTATCCAAAGTAATTTTCAAGCCACCTGGTCTGTAAGCCATGGAAAATAAACAGAGGAAAAATGTATTCACTTTGTCACTATTCATCCCCTGCAACTAACTTGTGTTGGATTTGTGATTTGAGGAAGATGGGCTTGTGATGTAGCATGTAATGGGACAGTAATTTGATTTGTGTTGGCCTTGTGGTGATTTGAAATGTGGTGACTGACCTCCTGCTTACTAGTGCAGAAGTCGTAACCACTCGACCACTAAGCTTGCCAGGGTTGACTGGCCGGTCCAAGTCTGGTGTAAGCTTGTGAATTTTTTCGCAAGCTCTCGGACAAGCACTGAGTATATAGTGTTTAGTGTTTATAAGTATACAAATAATTAAGAATTAACATCTCTCCGACGCAAAGTACATCTTGATAATAATTTGTGGTACCCACTGCTACACCTGACTCGAACCGGCCAGCGGACCCCGGCAAGCTCGGTTGTCGAGTGGTTAAAACGTCTGTACTAGTAAGAAGGAAGGTTGTGGGTTCGAGTCCCACCCAAGTAAGCTTGTGAATTTTTTGCAAGTTCTCGGACAAGCATTGAGTATACAATTTATAAACATATTTACGTTGGGTAAGGGCAAAACCCATAATTAACAAATCCCCCTACGCAAAGTACATCTGGACATGTTAACATGATTTGACTTGTGATGGACGTATGATATGACTTCTAATGGACTTATGATTTGATCTGTGAGGGACAAATGATTTGACTTGTGATGGATTTATGATTTAACTTGTAATGGACCTATGATTTGATCTGTGATGGACTATTTCAAAGATGGATTTGCGCTTGGGAGATGTAAATTAATTTTGGAATTTGCCCTGCCCGACGTGTGTTTAACACTGTGTACTCAGTGTATGCCCCCGAAGGCTCGTGAAAAACCCACAAGCATACTCGGGTGGGACTCAAACCCATGACCTTCTGCTTACTAGTGCAGATATGTCTTAACCACTTGACCACCGAGTTTGCAAATAGTTGTTTGCGGTACCCACTGCTACATCCGATTCAAACCAGCCAGCTGACACCGGCAAGCTGGCATGATTTGACTTGTGATGGTCTAATGATTTGATCGGTGATGGACTTATGATTTGACTTGTGATGGACTTTGTAACAACTTGGTACGACAGGAGCCATTCCTACCAGGTGATATTATCGTGATTGCCTGCAGTAACGCATACTCTTCCTTAGTCAGCTGCATGCTGTGCAGAGCTTGTACAAACTTCAATGAAGGCTGGGCTGAGGTGGCAAAGCCAGATGCTAGCATGGCCTCAATGCTCCACTCACTCCCTGTGATGTCATCAACGATGGAGTTGCGCTCTGGAATGTAGTTCTCCGCGCACCTTATCATGAGGATTTCCAGGATGGCATTCTTGACCAGAACGGCCTGGTCTTCATAGGATAGATTCCTGAAGGCAGGTATGGCTTTAGTGAATGCGACAGTCTGTCGGATGACCACGCCCAACAAGGTCATGTTGTAGATGATCATCTCCTGTGTTATGCAGGGCTTCATGTGAGTAGCTGAAGCGGGCAGAACCCTAGCCTCTGGTTTAAGTTCTACGTTACCCATGCAAGATGAACCGTGCTTGTCGCTTATATTTTCATACCCCATGTCCACCACCTCTTGTTTAATGCGCATCTCTGGTTGTGGGGGGGCTGTCTCTGGGTGTGACTCTGAGGAGTGTTCTGAGGACGAGTTATTGCAGTTCTCTCCTGGTAATTGGCTCATGTCAAACCCACTAAAGCCAGGTGCCATAGGAGGGCATAACTGACTGAGGTCCATAGGTCCATGAGGCCTCACACCGTTCTGTTTATGTCCAGGCATACCACAGAAGCCGGGGAATTTCATCATGTTACTCATATCCATCATTCCACCTCCTGGAGGCATCCCAGACTGACCCGTTAGAGCTTCCATCATCTTTTGAAGGATTTCATCAAATCGCCCAGTGGGCTGAAAAGACAAAAGGAAAATGCCAATGCAGGTGTAGGTGCCACTGGTAACAGGTGTAATGAAAGAAACAACAAAAACAACTCATTGTAACCTGTATAATATAGCAATACTTGGAGCCTTACATTGGTTGGACACACCAATTAACAAGTGTACCATGTTCCACATGCTCATTCATGTTATTTCTTGTTAATGTTCATTCACTACAGGCTTGACTAATTGCGAATTACAAAATGTGAAGACTTCAATGGTATCATGGGCAATTCTCTTGAAAGCACAGCATCAATTTTTCAACTTTTGCTCCACTAATGCTCCAACAGCTCCATGCAGATGTATCTGACCTTGGGCAGAACTGTGGGTCTCTTATTATGTGTGAATATATTTTATTTTGGGGGGAGGGGACAGAAATGGTATTGGTGGAATGAAGTTATGAACACTCCACTCCCCACTTCTAACAACTATTGTGGGTATTCAGCAGAGCCAAGAGATACTGACGTATCAGGGTCACAGACAGGTTGCTTAATGTCTGAAACTCTCAGGAGTTCAAGTGCAACAGTGTATGGCATCTTCCACCACTGGAATTGTCTTGGACAATCAGATCTGGCTGATTCCCCAAGGCCATTCTAGCAGTTACCCGCTATAATAACAGACTTGTTCATGCCCATCCAATGGATGACAAAATTGCAGTTTTACAGTTGTTCTGTTTAAGTTTAGCTTCATACGAGTGCATTACACATTACAGAACTTTGCAGTTTGACTAGGTGTCTATCAAATTGCCAACTTTGACACTATTACTCAATGACATGTCTAACATGGACTTACTTTAACTGGTGCACTGGTATGAAGAGCGTCATACTTGGCCTTCTTCAAACTGTCTATTAACTCCTCCTGATCTCTGCTCAGCACAGGTGTGGTTTCGGGGGTGGACACCGATGTGCTGACAGGTGGGGCTAGCTGCTGAGGAGGGGGTGGAGGAGGTACCTGGTTGTTTTTCTTCTTATTCTTGCGCTCCAGTGGTTTTCTTGTCTCAAGACGTTTTTCATCCCACACCCCTGCAAAGAAAGATAGAAATGTCACACTGAAACAATTTACCCCTAACAGGAAGGTATGAGGGTCTGCTGTCTGATATTAAAACCAAAATGTTAAGTTTACTAAATCTCTCATCTGAGACAGAACAAATACTAAACCGCTATTTAAAAATACCTCAAACAATTTTGTCATTTGTATTGGTCGACAGCCCATCATGTAACCAGTCTTAAATGACCGATAAAGCCACTGATTGGCTGTACACCACCTCATGTAAACTGCATGAAGCAGGTGACCATTGCCATATAACATGGCTTGAGTGGTACTTGAAAAAAAAAAAGAAGGTATTAAACAAACTCATTAGAAATGTATAATTTGTTGAAAACTTGTTTTGACTTTGTGACTCAAAAGATTTTTATAAAATGGGAATAGGTACCTTTATGTTCTTGGCCTGTAAATGTTTGTTTAAGAGGAGAATAGAGACTGTCCTAGGAGAATGGACACTGAAATTTATCTCGAGCCAACTGGAGATATTATCAGAATCCAACTCCTAGGCTGACTTTAAATAAATGTTTTCTTGCCAAGCACATTATTTTTAAAAGCCAAAGCCACCAAAAAAAGTAATTTCATTTTTAATTTCTTTTCAGAATAAATTCAATTGTCAAACATAACCATGCAGATAAACGGAAAGCAAAGATGTTTAAAGGACTTTCAATTCAGGTAAAACACAACTGTAATAACATTGGATTGAAATTGGCGTACATGGTCAACTACGCTTCTGGAAATAATTTTCTAGGATGCTGCGACTCAGATTTATTTGTTGATATCCTTCTACCTCTGGGAGGAGGGGTTGCTGCATGTAATTCAGTTGAAGCAGCTACGCTACCCACCCATAAGGCTCCAATCAGCCCACAAGACAGAACAAAATACACACATCTACATGTATTTTCATCCGCTACAGGTAAAAACAAAATAGAGAGAAAAGTGCACGCGTACCGTGTGTATACATCCTATAGTTATTATTTCACCGTCTATTAGTACTAAGCCCAGGAGTCAGTGGGCATTCCGTACTTGAATTAATGCGTAATTTCAATGCCAGATGTGGTATGGGGCAATGCAGCGGATGTGACCATCGATCCAGGCTAGTATGCAGCCGAGTGTGTGTTATTTGCCCCAGCAACTGTAAAGCCTCACTTGTGCATTTATTCTTTCCTTCCCCAGAACTGTCTTCGGATATAACGTCAATATACAGAGGGATACGCTGCTGAAAATGACTGCTATTCTTAACGGCCTAAGGCTATTCCACCTCCCTTCACACAAAAAAAGACTGGTTTTTTCTTTATTTGTGGTCACTTTTTCCTCCCCCTCCCCCCCTTTCGTTTTTCAAGACACTGGTTTTCTGCATGGCCGGTTGCTACATAGTGCAATTTTCACAGTAATTTTCCATGTTCTTCACAGTCTGGTCTTGTCCGTCTGATACTACGGGACGCATATAAAAAGTAGCCAAGCATGCAATCACATACACATGTAGCTACACGTACATCCGACTTGCAAAATGAGATGAGAAAAACACAGCAGCAAATCACTTCTTTAAAAAACGGTATCAAGTTTACATGTATGGAGGGGCCAATTGAAATTTTTTAATCTTCTTCCATCTTTCAAAATATTAAACACTGAACAAAACTTACATGTACATGTAAAAAAAAAACAAAAGTTGAGAGTATGAGAGTATTAACAAGCATCCAGGCTTACATTTCTTGAATAACACATTCCAAACAGTGTCTTGTCATATCAGAAATTCCCATCATATTTATATTCTTCAAAACTAAACACAACATCTCAAGCACACTCTCGGGAAAAAATATATAATAAAATGTCTTCATGAAATCTCCAGCAAAGGTTGGGCTTGGAGCCAAGGGTGAAAGAACATGTGTGCGAATGTCAGCTGGAGGTGAAGGCTGCATAGAGAGGGCCTTTGGCAAAATGCCCATTTTAAACAAAGACTTAATCTATGGGTCCACTGAGTGAACAAAAGAGAATGTTTGTTACCTAACGGTGATGTCCCTTGGGACCAACAAACCATGCAGGCAAGAACTGCCATAGGCATGAAATCATCCGCATACATATGCCAAATATGCATGGCGAGAAATTTCACTTGTATTGCAAAATACTACAGTTTGTTAAGTTTTGCTGTTCAAACTATCACGAACTGCCATAAATGTCTCTGCTTCATAAGTTTAAAAAGGCATGGTATTTTGCGAAATGATTTTGCTAAAGGGATGAGCTTACTGACAGGCAAGTAAATTTTGTGCATTTCTCATCTGAAATAAACGGACAAAAACAAACACAGCCAAGAGTCAGCCCACATGGGTACTTATAAAAGGAGGCCATTTTGGGAAAGCATTTGGTGCTAAAGTTGCTGTGCTTGAAATTTTTTATTAATGCCAGATTGTGGAAACATTTTCATGGGAGACAGCCATCAACATGACAACACTCAAGACCTACTTTCATTCCTTGTGATCTACTGTGCATGTGGTTTCATGCTTATGGTCTTGTTTTTTTTCTTCAAATTTTTAAAAATTCATCCAACACGGGTTTTGTGTCCTGCATGCAGTTTTCAGTAAGAAAAGTCTGAAGGAAAAGCTGGAGAGAATGTCAATGGAGTGGGATGGAGTGATCACGTAGAGCAGACTTAACCACAGGACTGCTGGGGATGATCTGACAAAAAAACGGCACCTACTGCTTGACAATACATGCTAGGTCTCAGGGTCAGAGGAAGATATGAGGGGGGCTCAATTACCAATTATTGGGACTTAGTGTGAATGCTTCTGTGTAATGATTAAGGAACAGGTACCAGTAGCTTAAGATTAATTGATGCAGCCTTTGTGGTATCAACTGACCAGATCTATGGCCTGTTTTTTTTAAAATATATATATCTCATGAAAGATTTTGACAAGCTTGAAAGGTACATTAGTTCCACATTGATAGGACTATATGTACTTCTCTCTGCAACGTACTCTTCAATATTGTAGTGCAGACTCCTAAGTCAAACTGATTTTAGGGGATTCCTATGTAGAGTGCTAATAAAGTTAGTTTGGACAGGGAATTAGGACTGGTAATATGAAAGTATTGTGAAAAGTGCATGTACAGTAATAGTTGATTACTGTGATCGCCTACACCTGCTCTCTCAGACTTAGTTTTTAGAACACCTGTATCTCTACATCCATTATTGAGTTATACAGCATCCCATATCATTTATGTACTGACCCGATGGAAAAGTGAGGGCAGTATGATGTAAACATGTACTTTTTGCAGAATTTCAGACAAGCAAGCAACCAGTGAATCCTACATGTATATTGATTACATCTACAAATCTAATTTAAATTCACGTACAAATACAGGATATGGCAAAATATATGGGAGAAAAAAATAAAATGTACTTGGAAAAAAAAAATCCTGCCTTTCCCAAGAGGAACAACACCTTGAACCTAAATGTGTGCGGTTTCAAGGTAATTGGATAATAGCTACAGGTTGTGACTGCTTTGCATTAGGGAGTGTCTACTCAAGAACTAAGAGTACAATCTTCCATCCACACATCTCACTCTAAGATGGGTCTGGCTTCAATAAACTGTCATGTCTGGATCAGAGGGGAGAGGATAAGGACAAGTAACTCTGAAACTTGATCAATCAACGAGCTGCAAGGCCTTGAAACGGTTCCCTCCCTAGGTGAAGGTCGTTTGGGTAAAAAGTCAAGTCATCCGCATCATCCATGTTATGGTGTCTTCTGCTTGAATACAGAAAAAGCTGCAGTTTGGATGGTGTTCAATGGAGTTTTCTAATTTGAATGGGTTCCGTAGTCAAAGACATGAAGGCACTAAATTATACGTCACTTTTAATAAGCACAGATTATCATAGTTCATGAAGACAATACTTCCGTATTCTTAACCACAATAAATTTTTTTCTTAACGAAAACTACAGCACAACATCAACAACCAAGCACACACACAGTATTAAATGATCAGAACATTAATACCAACTTGTGTGGTTTCAAGCCCGCTGGGTACCGGTACATGTGTATCTGCTTAAAAACTGAGACGGTGGTCAACTAAAGAGCAGCATGGTGTTACTGCAGATAAATACCTGCACATGTTTCTTCTCATGAAAACTGAATGTCATGAAGTCAAGTACAGTCAAGGCCAGACCCCATAAATACAATGTAATGTGAGTCCCCAGCTACATTAAGTACATGTGAGCAAGGTTACCAATGTCTACCAGATGTGGGTAAGGCGCGCATGCATAACGACCATGCAATGTTGCATTTGCACATTACTTCAACATGGCAGTCTTTCCATCTTTGAAAACTCACTTATTACAAGACACTAGAAATGTTCAGGAAGAGCCTCATGCTGCGACACAGGGTACAGTGTTCTGTCATATTTGGCTTTTCAGTGATTGTTCATTTACAGACTGACCAGTTTGACTTGTTTGTTCTGTAAATAGGCAGAAGAGGAGATTCTGAATCTCTATTTACTTTAAATATGCACGCTTAGCAGTGTCCTCTCAAAGACAACAAACTGAATTGAAAGACAATACTCAAAACAAACCCCCCCTCCAAAAAATGGTGCCCTTTGTGAAATTGTAAGTATTCAGTGTATGTGCTTCACAATTGTTATTTCATTCATTAAAAAATACTTGTATATGAAATATTTTCATAAAAAATCTAGACACTAAACTTGGAGGCTCATAAACATTGAGCCTATGCTCAAACACCGTTTATATGTTCTTATGTTGGAGGCATCTATAGATATTTAGGTGAGTTATACCCAGAAGTTTTGACCAATAAGTGAAAATACATGTATGTGCATGGTGCACCTCAGTAACCCATGTACATGTAGCTGCCAGTTGTGATCTCTGACTTCAGTCCATTTCCAAGTATCGAAGATCATAAAGGGACTTACTCTCTGGTTTCATGCCAACATCTAGACATTTCTTTAATCGACAGGCCGGGCAGTGTCGTCTGGTGTACAAGTCCATGACGCAGTTGCCATTGGCTTCACAGGTGAACTTGGCCTTGCTCTTGATCTTTCGGCCAAAGAAACTCTTGCAGCTTTCACAGGACACCACAGTGTAGTGAAGGCCACTCGCCTTGTCCCCGCACACCAGGCACTTTTGTTTGCTGTAGTCCATTGACATCTTTTCAAACCTGTAGTGGGACGGAGGAAGTGCAAAAATTTCTTTTATAATGTATATATTTTGTTTTACAATTGTATGGCTATAGGTTATGTAACGCACAAAACGTTATGTAATGAAAAATCCAGCTTGCGTGTTCTGTTGTAAAGAATAAATTAATCAGAAACCACTTTCAAAAAGAGTACAGGTACATAAATACATGTATATGTATTCCTTAAAAACAAACCAAAAAACAAACACAAAAAATTCTCTTTGACAAAACCTTTCAAGTTCAACTTCTCTGAAAATGTAGACTGGAAAACGAGGTTAAGCACAGCGTCTTTGTGTACACCTGTACAAGCACATACATGTACATAGCTCTGATACTTTTAATGGATGGCTACACACACCAAAAGCCCTAAGCAGTAGTACAAAAGAAAGGACTAAGCAACCCGGTAAGTACATGTAAGCTAATTCTAGCCCCCTAGATGTCACTAAGGAGAAACATTGCATACATCCAGGTTTTAACTTCCACAAATTTTTCATTTATAGAAGTTTTCAATAACTTGGAATGATTCTAAGAAAGAAGACAGAAACAAAAGAACAAAGGATGAAAAAGGTTATAGCAAGGCATACAAAGTGATAAGCAATATTAAGAAAAAAAGATCTGATCTGAAGCAGGTGAATATGGTGGTACAGTCTTGGCAGATTCAAGAGCCATCTAAGCTCCTAACTTGCTTCACAGAAAACAACCTGGTTACAGAAAGCAGTCTGGTGAAGCTGACCAAATAAGAGAAGGAACTGAACACACACGTAGACGCACGCAACTCAGCTAGGCTGGAATAATGGTCACAGCCAGTCTTCACGACCACATCTCGACCCACACACAGAAGACTCCATCAAGAACCTGGCCTGCTTCACAACAAAGTCTACCAGTCCCTTCCCTGACACGACTACATCAACAACCATCTATCCTCCCTCAAACACTCTATCAATTATACGTAGTCTCATCTTGAATCGAGCTCATCCTATATTTATAATTAATCCACTCTGACCTTGCTCCGTCTGCTTTCTCTCCATCACTTACTTCATTTTTTCACTCTCACATTTTTGTTTCCTTTCCTTTCCCTTGACATTCTTAACTCGGCTTTCTCCCCCTCAAAAAAAAAAAACTAGCTTTGAAAAGTAAAATGTCAAGCTGCTGTTTATATTTGGGCTCAGGGACGCATCACCTTCATCTGTCCACACAAGGTCGTTAGGGCAGGCTAACACCATTCCATTGATGAGACCGGCTCTAATTGCTCTGCTAATTTCAGCAGGAATTCATGGCCACAACCATCCAGTCTGTCATCAACAAACATGACTCACAAAAAATAAATGGGGGAGCTTTAACCTCAATTGGGTTTTAATCGAAAGTCCCCGTCCTTATTTCAACTTCCCCAAAGTCTGATGGATGCCTTCCGATCTGCAAAGGAGCAATCCATGTTGTTGGAATGAGGACTGTAATTAGGCCTTAGGAATACCAGCAGCAATATTACCCACAAACATGGGATTCCAAAAGTAATCCGAACTTTGCTCTGCTCATTTTGCAATCTAAGCCCCCATTCTTGTCAATGATGAAGCTCCCATAGAAAAAAAAAACATTGGTCTGCATTTCTGAGCTATCAAGCTGGAAGATCTTCATCACACACACACCAGAGGACAATGACACAACTGGTACAGGAAATAAGACTTCTGGTTTTGACTACTTCCATGGCAGTGATAGACCAGGAACCTCAAACTAAACAAAAAGAAGTACATGTACAAAGACTTGCATCTGGTGGCACAGTTGGTTTGATCTTTGCTTTTACCTACATCTGTCATCTGCTTTTATCACTGGCCTGCTGGCATTATCAGCAGAACATGAATCACTTTGACATGTAATACTATTTAAACTTGGGTGTCAATGTGGAAACATGATGCTGACATAACAAGCGATAAAAATCACACATGCCAGACCCCTTTTGACTGCTCACAAGTTTGGATCAGAAGCAGATTCAGTTTCAACCTTTCCACAAGACTAAATCATGCCTGTATTCATTCCTGGACAAGCAGATCAAAATATCTACAAGATTTATGACCATACGGTGTTTACTGACAGAAGAATGAACATTAACTTTTTCCCAAACATTTCCCAGGATACATAAATTTACAGCGAGAACAATTATTGTTCCAATGGCACATCTCAATTACAAACCAATGTATTGAGATTGTTATTTGTGTTTTTTTTTAACACAGAATCAGACGTTGGTCTTTCATGCAACTGTGTTTATAAACCAACTTCAACAGAGGTTTGGTATGCAAAAAACCCAAGAAGTCATTCTGCACCTTCAATATTCTTAGAAAATGGCGCTGGCCGTAAATAACATGTCTGTGCTGTCTCTATCGTCTCTGCCTCTGCTCTTTGGAATTCGGCTGAAAATCTGTCAAGTTCCTGAGCAGCAACAACCAAGAGCTGACAGGCAGGTTACACTGCTCCATTACAAATGCGTATTGCTTGTACTACTCAGCCAGCGTTTATTGATTCAAGTGTAAAGCAAACTGCACTATTGAACCCTGAACTTCAAGTCTTCAGCAGGCCACAGGAGTGGTGAGCTCACCTAAAAAACCCCAAACCCCCAAACTGAAGTCGGGTCATGTGCAAAAATTTACTTTAGCATCTACTGGGGGAGGGACCTTTCTAAAGTGGATTGAGAAAGGGAGATAAACAAGCAGTTAAAACAAACACAACCAGAGGAATGATGGAATAATTACAGGATATTACTAGACAAGAAACAACAAATGCAGGAAGCTGTTATGGATGGGTTCCTGCCCAACCTTAAGGTTAACACACACATTTGATTTCTGGTCACCTGACTTGCTGTTAGTGTTTTAAAACAATCTCACAAATCAATTTATCAAATTCAACTCAATTACACTTGATATCATCGTCTAACTCCTTAGCAGAGGTATTTACCTATAGCATTAACTCACATAAACAACACTTCATGAATATTTGAGACCAAGCTACCCGGGGAAACTAGAAGTAATAAAGTGATCATTGCTTCCACTCAGTTTTACAAATACGGATTTCTACAAATGAGGTGTTAATCAACCGTTACAAATGGCAAACTCAATTCATCACCCAACTTACATTTTACAAAAGCATTATGGAATTTAATTGCCTCACTTCAATCTGACCTTCTGTACTTCAAAAACAGACACTGTTGCATTGGGGGAAAATTGGAGAAAAACATGCAGTAGGAAAGGATGAAAAAAAAAAGGAACTGAGTATTCCCAAGTAGTACACAGGACCTGTCGCCACAGAGGCAACCGATGAATAACTTTGTCAACTCCCAACTTTTCCTAACACAAGGCCCAACAAAGGATGCATTTTTGGAAAGAGTATACTGTTGAGTAACTGCCTGATTGCCTAATCACCTGCAGACCTTTTCACAGGAAGCACTCATCTGGATTAGAGTAAGAATTTGGCTTTTCATCAAGGCACAACAAAAGAATTACGAGCGGAAAAAAATTGGAAGCATGGAAATAGAAGCAGTGAACTTGGGAATTGCAAGCGAGGTCAGTGAATAACTGTATCTCTTTCTCAGCATGGAGTGGGGTTCCTTTTTGTCCTATCTCACTAGCGTTGATACTGGTGGGAAAGTAGAGGTTTGGGTTCACAGTAGGGAGGCCGGGACCAGAGCAGCCTGTGTAAACATACCATCAGAAAGGCTATTTCACAGCCGGCTGCCTGCCACAAAAACCCTCTCTGTATTGACATAAGTTGCCACTCCACGCTCAGCCTTCATCCTGGGCTACCTGACAGGCTAGCTGCCACCTTGTCTTTTAATCCGCTCCACTCCAAAGCGGAATACTGCAAGCTCTGTTAGCCTGGCAGTATGGGACTGTAAACTCCCTAAAGCCGGCATTTCATCGGCTCCACAAAAGCCACTATTGTGACTGCCAGAGTTCAGAAGACCTCAAAGCTCACATGTTTTGACAGCACCATGTAGACATTCAATTTTCTGCTTAAGCTGCAGACAATAAGACCCAAAACTGCTAGGTCCATTTTTTTTTCTCCCCTTTTCTCCTCCTCTCCCCTCTTTTCCCCGCGCTCAACAGCAGACTGACTTGCATGTATCAAAGTGTAAGTCAGTGAGCAAGGAGATTAAATCCCTTCAGTGCCGGCATCATACACTCCAATCATGCCAAGTCCTCAAGAAATGCATTCATCATCAAAAATAACTCCAGGGAGAGGGAAAGCAAAAAAAAAAAAAAAAACCAGAATTGCGACCCACTAGTTAGTTGGGGGTTAAATTGTTGGCTGGCGGCTCATTATATAGTACAATGCCCGGTGCATGTACTGACCAAGTGACAAGCAATCTAGGTGAATTCACCCAGATGGTGGCTCAGCTTAGTCTTGGACAAAATAATTTTACAAACTCAAGAAAGACACACATACACACACAACACTGACGTGACTGAACAAAGAACAGCGACATGACATCGTTCTTCAAAGGGCCACTGTTGCGTATGTTACAACACCCAAACAAGCACGCCCAAAGCCCTTGTCGTGACAGTCTACTCCCAATATGCATCAACCTGCGGCATATGCACATTCATTACAAATGAAACACACTCCTCATTAACATTTCCATATTCTCCACCTTACTACCCTCTCTTCCACCTTTCTCCTGACCAACAACGCTGGGATTTTCTGTTTATACATCCACAGCCGTGTGACAGGACAAAGCCTCCCCAACTCCAGCTTCCTTGCTTGCCCAATCCCCATATCGCCCCGGTCTCCATGCACCAATTTAGCACGCTGCAGCGCCGTGGCACACTGTCCTAGCACGTCTGTACATTTCTGCTCCAGTTGCTATGGCATGACCTATATACAACGCGCACCGTCCACCTCAAGCTCAATTCCACATCAAGCCACCATGTGTTAATTTTTTCCCTGTTTTTCACACCTACACAGCTGTCTGTAATAACAGTCTGTGCAGGGGAGAA